GCACATTTTGTCACCCCAAATTTTGGGCCTAAGAATACATGGATTAGCCTAAGATAGGTAGGCCACCAAATCCCTATGAGCAGGAGTTCCAGAAATGTAAAAGGAAGGTTGAAGGGTTTCAGGGACTAAACTATAAATAGAGAAAGTTCTAGGGACTAAAATGTAAAAAAAGTTAGAGGCTCCAGTGAAGTTTTAAGGCCCAAAAATGAGAAAAGAGGTTAGTTTAAACCAAAGGTTGTGATAGAGGCCATAATAGGGTGATTTATGAGGTTTACTTGACTAGTGGCAAAACCAAAATTTTGGAAGGTTTCGGGCTAGGAATGGGTAAAAATGAAATTAATATCCAAAAATTCTAGAAAATTCCAAAAAATAAAAAATGACATTTTAAGGCCTGACGAAAATGCCTTTGAGTTGACTTAAAAGGAATTTATAAGTTTATGACTCAATTTGAGATGTAAAGGTAGACTTAATTGTTTGAGTCATAAGAAAACCTCAAAAAATTATGGTAAAATAGAGATGTATGATCTAAGAGGCTAGAGAATTTATAAAATTAGTTTTAACCCTAGAAGGCCAGCAGAATGGCTTGAACATTTTTTTAAGTCCAGAATTGCAGTTTATGGGTTTGTTATGGGAAATTTAAAAAGAAATACTTATGGTCTGAGTTATGATCTGAGAAAATTCATATATTTTCTACAGAATTAAACGAATTTTATGGTATAAATAGATGAATTTTTGGAGTTCAGGATTGGATAAAATGCTCTAGTCAAAATTAATGCCCTTTAATTAGGAGACAAAGCTAGAAAATATCTCGGATATTTTGAGGAAGACAAGTTCAACTTGAATTCTCTTCTTCTTTCCCATGTTCTTTATTTATGAGGGTGATGAGTCATCATATAAGTCACCAAAAGATATTTTATGGGCAGTAGAAAAATTAGAATGCAATACGGGTAGGTGTCAGATAGTTTCCTATCTACCCAGTAGAGCAAAATCTCTATTATGTGACTCAATAAGGTTGACTAATTGGGCAATAGTGTTGACTATTTTTTTCCCCTCTGCTCCTCTAAGGTGGCGCTATCTATGTGCTTTTATTGAACAATATCCATTATTAAAAATACCTAGAGATCTCAAAAAATTATGAAAAATTAAAAGAAATTCATTCAAGAATTATGGAGATTTATAAAATTATTTGCAAACCTAAATGATGAGGAGGTTAGCTTTAATTGAATTTAAAACTAAATTAATATCGGTAGATTGTCTGTTTTTACAGATATGGCAATTTAAAAGGTTATATGGGGAGAAAAATTATAAAATTAATAAGGAAAGTTTCCTTTATTGAGATATAATTAATGGTGATCTGATATAAGAATTTTGAGATACTAGAATTTTTTAGCTATCAGATAAAATAAACCAATATTATATTAAGACTCAGTGGACTGTCAGGACAACCGGGGTGGTAAAAATTTCTGACAAAATGTCAACGACACATGTCATGGCTAAATTGGCTAAGAAAGGGAAAAAAGAAAATAAAAAGAAAAAGAAAAAGAAAAAGAAAATAATAAATCAAGTTAGATTAAAATCTAATTAAGGTTAAGTAAGATGATTATGATTAAGTCTTCTTTCATAAGATCGTGACACATGGCAAACATGGTTCATTAGATGGCTAGGATTCAATCATCTATCTTTGAAAAGTCAAAAGCTTCTAGAAGGGTAATTAGTCAAGTTAATCAAGGAATTAAGAGAGTTAACCTTGATCAAAGCCTAATTAATCTTAATAGATAAGAAGAGATGACATAAGCCCTAATGACTCACCATCCAAGTGTCAACATATTAGGCCACATAGCTTAAGATTTGTACATTTGGAAAGAGGTAAAAATTGGAAAGCCAAGATCAAGTCTTATGCAAGAAGGGCATGTGTGGAATTAATGAAAATAGAAAGCCTATAGATATGCCCCCACATGTTCATTTCATGCAAGGCCATTCAAATAGGAAAACTCTTGCAAAATTTCATTTAGAGAGAGAAAGAGAAGAGTTCTAGTGAGAGGAAGTCACTTGGAAGCAAGTTAAGCTTCTACAACTCTTCTATTTCAAGTTATAATGGTTATATGTTGGTTTTATGCTATTTTGATGATGATGGAAAGTCATTTCCCTAGGGGGAAGTACTGCCCAAATTTCATCAAAATAGATAAGAAGGGTTTAGATTATGTATGATTAAGTTTAGGCATGGTTAAAGGTTAAGGATTAAGTGATTACATGTTAGTTTTGTTGAAAATCCCTTTCCCCATGATTATATATAGTGTTCGGCCAAGTCAGGTTCAATTGGAAGGGATTTGATTTTCATAAAACTAATATGATATTTGATTTCTACATGAAAACTATGTAGGAAAGGCCCAAGAAAGTTAAAGAATCAAAGCCAGAAAAATAAACCCTAAAAATCAAGAAAAAAGGGGTTTAAGGGGTTAAGTTATGGAATTGTCATAATACTTAAAGTTGTGTCATTGCTTGCCTAATAGGCTATACACAACAAAGGGGCAAAAATCTAGTCAAGAGGAAAGAGTTCAAGAGGAAGAAAAGTATTCAAGGTAGCTTTGCAATCCATTATATTAGAGTGTCACTTTACTTTGTATGATTATGGCTATCTGTTTTGCTAAATTGTTATGCTATGAGGTAGATGAGAATGTTATGTTATATGATGTTGCCTCCATGCAATTTATGCCTTGGCTTATGTTATGTTGAGTGCTATGAATGTTTATGATGATTTATCCTTGCTATTGCATGAACATAACGTTAAAGTATGCATGCATGTAGCTTGATTTACAATGTATTGTGTGACCTTGATAATTTATGCAGTTGCTACTAAGATTCCCTAAGAATCTTATCCCAATATTTAAACAAACCCTAGGGCCTTTAACCTCCAAGAGCAAAGGAAAAGAAGTGGCTATAGTGGAGAGTTAAGTTTGCCTCAAGAAGAAGAAGAAGAATGAAGAAAAACTTTATGTTGGATGAATGTAATTAAGAATATGCTTTAAGGTTTTAAGTTATGGATATATCCTAGCTTATGTGTTAATATGTGAAAGCATGCTAGTGTTGTCCAATATGCATGATTATATGGTAGGAGAATTAGTATGCAAGTAATTGGTCAAGTAAGACAATTCATCCTTCCAAGGGGGATAAAAGTTAACATTATGGACTTAAACTTTGACCAAAGTCAAATTAAGCAATCGAGTGAATTAGGTTATGAGATTAGGTGAGCAAATAGATGGGATTTTTCTCTTTAAGATGAGAGTTGGTTCACATGAATCTGATAATCACACAAGAAGTTATACCCTTCTAAAATTGGGCTAAAATAAGTGAAAAATAGAAAAGTGACCATATGAACAATAACTTTTTCAAGAAAAACTGGGCTCGAATTTTAAGGCAATCAGTCCAGAAACTATTTTTCCTCAAAATTTTATCCAAAGAGCTTTCTATAGAACTTGGAATCACTTGATTTTGATTTTTCTATAATTAGTTATGAATTTTCGAAATTTGCCACATTTTTGGATTACAATGAATAGTAATCCGCAAAAGAAAATTTTCAAACTTGATTTTTCATAGCTTATAGTCTCAAAAAGTGATTCCAAATGCTTCCGCAAGGCAAGTTAATTGGTATAAACTTAAGATGTTAAATATTTTCTAGCTTTCCTCCCTCAGTTCGCAAAAAAAAAAAAAGTCTTTTTCTTTTTGGCTTTTCCCTCTCTCCCTTGTACATTTGTTGTGAAGCACAGTCTGACTCCATCACAATGACCGGACTTCTGCGCCTGGCTATTTGAATTTATTATACACTCTAGGTATGCCCGAATCACTACAAACATTTTCCAGGAACATTCTTGTGTCCATTTCAGCAGCGGCATGTGATGACATTGATAGTTCCCTTATTTTCACCCACTTTCTTCCACACTTCCCAAATATCTTCTGCCATTAATTCTCATATATACTTCCCACCCCATCGACATGTTCAACCGTGCAACCCCCTAAGGGAAAGATCCAATAGAGATTATTTCTTTTAGAATATATAAAGCAATACTGGTAGGCTAATAAAGCAAAATAAAGAAACCAATACACTATTGGTTGAGATGGTAAGGGGTCTCATCTCCGTAAGAAAGAGAAAACAAGTTCAAATCTTGAGAAGCACACTTATTGGGAGGACTTTAACTTTAACGCTTTCAACCTAACAGAGATTCGTTTCAAGTCCAACATGATTTGATAATACTTTGAGTTATACTAAAAAAAAAAAAAAGTAAAACAAAGAGACGTGGTTTTATCAGGAATTGGACTGACTTTAGGCTTCCAAAGTGCTTATATACTCCTGACATTGGCTATAAGATTCAAACCTATATGACTCTATCTTAATACCTGAATATATACATCAACTTTATTACCATTCTTCATTACTACTTGGATATTGGGATGAGATTGTGGGGGTGGGCGACCAAAACTCCTATGGCCTACTTAATTCGACGTTTAAAATGCGAGGGGGCCTGGGGGTACCCCCTTACCTCTATCCCTTTCACTAACATATTTGCAGCTCAAGCATTAAATGCAAACAAATTCAGTCCCTCCCTTTGTTTAGACACTTCAATTCTTTCTGATTTAGTTTAGAGCAAGCATTTCCTTATTCTCATTCTTCTGTGGATCGCATTACCAACAAAACAATAGATCTTAAGTAGAATGATTTAATCGACTAGTTTTACCCATAGGAGCTTTATTTGTTTCATCCATTAAATATGATTCATGAGGTCTGAACAATCTCAAGCATGCACGTGTATGGTCAAAAACGATGCCACGGAGGCTTGAAGATATTTCATTTAATGAAAATATCAATTAACATACCACTGGACCATCTTATGTATAATAATCCCCCCACGTCGCCAAAAATCATAGGCCAATTCTTTCCCTATTTGATACTTCATTTTTCTTTATCTTCATCTCACCCAAAGACATCACACAGAAACGTATAGATTCAAATCTCAGGCTTAAAATCATCACGCAGATCCACAATCCCAAAACGAAAGTAAAAAAGTGATCAAAGTATCAATACTAGATATGAAGAAGGTATGTACATATATTGGAAAATTATTTTGCAGTGCATAATCTTGCACATTTAACCCCATAGATATCTGTTTTGATGTGTCACAGCAGATTCTTCGAGGTCTCTGTAAAAGACCATACGAACAAGAAAGAAAGAGCACCGCAAGGACTGAAGAGTTCAATGGTAAGAAATTATTTTCCCAACTGTTCCGTTATTGTATCCGCCAGTTCAAACAAGTAGAATCCTCTGTATGTATCATATTATATGGTATGATTTTCCTTTTAAGATCAAGTTGCTGAAGGGAAAGACATAATTCTAGTTGATCATCACGAGTTGTCTCACGGAACAAAGGAAAACGAGGAGAGGCAACTTGGGTGCAAGAATATGAAGATATTTGCTTTCATATGTAGAAAAGATATTCCAACGGCTTGCTTTTACAGTACCCTCAACTTGAAGAGACTTGCAAGCTTTAACAGAAGACTGCATCTTGTGTACCCTATGAAGATGAAGAGAGAAGAAGTGTCCGTAGGAGTGGGGATCAGTAATAACAAGGCAGATTCGAATGAACATGTAAGAAACAAGGTTCTGCACGCCACTGAGGCATCATTCTTGAATTCAGAAACCAAATATGATAAAATGAAACCTGTTTCGAGAATGAAAGAACTTGTTAGATGGGCAGAGAAAGGAGGAAAATTCAATGGACGGAAGGTAAATTCTTGATCCCCTTCATTTATTGAACATGGGCTTATCACTTCCTGCAAACTGGATAAAGACTAAGTTTAAAGGGATTAATTAACATAGCAGAAAAATGTTGATCAAATTATGAACAGTTTTTGCAGTTCAGAAGGCGAGGAATTGTGAAAGAAATTGATAAAGATGATGAAGAAATTAGCGGCCCTATCACTTCCTCATTTGCAGCCACTGGGCACGTGACTTGCGGAAAAGGAAACTGGGTAACCTCTGATTCTGAATGTAAGCAATGTCTTCAGTAAATTTGTTTCTCTAATATGTACACTTAATCTTAGTATTGGTTTGATCTCTGAGAACATATTAAGGTTTTTATGCATAAATATCTTCAGCTTGTGATTTTGGACCACAAATTTCTCTAATTACTGTTCTACCTCTGATTGATGAGCAGTTGTGGTGCTGGAACTATGAAGAGATGGGATGTAAAGGGGACATTTGATGGTTGTGTTGGATTTCAATTCCACTATTGGTTGATGAAACTGAAGCGATGCTTTGTTCATATATACTTTGTGTGAGATATTTTTAGAGATTTATTAATGTAATGTCAATGCTTGATGACATGGAAGTGATGTGCTCAATGAGAATGTTTTTAGAATTACATTATTATTGGTTTGACATGAATTAATAATAATATTATTATTATTATTATTATTATTATTATTATTATTGATGATGATAGAATATAAGTCATAATATTGATGATTCTACAAGATATATGTGGCTCATAGAACACAAAGTAATCTTCATCATCAATTTGAATGCATGGGCACCAAGCGTAACATCACTACGCTTCTACCAGAAAAACATTTTTTTCCAAAAAAAAGTTTATTTTGTTTTTAATATAATATATATTAAAAAAATCTCTTTGAGCTTAAATTATTCTGAGAAAAAAGAAAAGGGTTGGAACTTTTGGTTTGAATTAGAAGCAAAACTAAGAAAAATATGGATCTCCTAAATATTTGTACTAATTAGCTGTGTCGATTGACAATACGAGCCGATAGAAATGATGGGCAATATGGTAAACAAACTTGACAACTGGCATTAATTTTAAATGTGAAATAAATATCAAAGGGAGAAATGTTCCTTATACTACATCTGCTCCTTAATATAAAATCATCTGACTAATTTAGAGAGATTAAAGAAGTTACTAAATTATTTTAAAGTAACTTTAAAGTATTTATATTTATCAACTTTTTTTCTCAAACTAATTTGTTTTACTTACAAATTGATGTATCTAATGATATATATAAGTGTTTTAAAGAGATTATGTAATATATGCTATAATTAAGTAATTTTGTAACTTTTTAATCTCCTCAAATTGGTCTACGGCTCTTATATGAAAGACTGAAGCTAATATCTTGTAACTTATCTACTTTACTTTGTCTTCTTCTTCATCGAATTTTCTATAACACTACACCTTCATCAAATATAAATTTTTCTTCTAATAAACATAGAATGATGAAGAATTATGTCACATCTCACAAAATTTAACCCTGACAATGAGTATAAAAAATTAAGTCAAGAGTCAATATGAAAAGTAGACTGGCCGATGAAGCCAGACATGACAAAAGTTCCAGATAGGGTTCGGACTGATATTTTTGAAATTATCGGTCTAGGAAGGACAAAATAGAAGAATTCTAGAAATTTTTTAAAAAATAGAAAGTTGGTAAATTAGAGGTTTTGGAACCCTATTTGAGGCTTTGGAAGTGAAAATAGCATGAAAATAACTTATTAAACAAAGGATTTTTGGGAAAATTAGTGAAAAATGAGAAGAAATAATTATTTTAAATATGTAGAGGCCTCAATAATTCTTGAAAAAATATGACAAAATTATTTAAGGATTTATTTGATTTTATAAAATTATTTTCAAGCCCTAGAAGTACAGGCATTAATTTTAAAATATTTATTATCAAAATCTTATCGGTAAAACTTGATTTCAGAAAAAATTCAAAATAAATAGTTAGAGGTTGAGATAAATTCTAAATTTTTTTCAGCGGGCTTTCCTATATTAAAAGGAACTTTTTGATGGAGAGAAATGAATTTTTGGAGGCCTAGAGCTATTTTTGGAAATAGTAACCGAAATAATGAGTTTTAGCTAGAAATTGATAATTGTGATTAGGTCACACTTCCTCTTCTTTTCGAATTAGTTTTGGGTTTCATATTAGGCCAAGAAAGCCCAGAAATTTTTTGCAGCCACAGTCCATTAAGTTAAGAGAGCTTAAGCCTAAATTAAGCCTAAAATCCAAAAGAAAAATCAAGAAAGAAAGACACTTGGCATGAGCTAAAAATCGGAGGCTAAGAAGTGGGACACATGGCCCCTTATATGGCAGAAAATGGCACGATTTTGGAGGGCTTATGTGTTAGTGGCAGTCTCACCCAAGAAGGGGGGTGAATTGGGTGAGTAATAAAAATTTACGAAATTAAAACAAAGAACTATCAGAAACAGAGAGTGTGAGTTTAGAATGATTTCACCGTAGAGAGGAAGATACAAGATTTATACTGGTTCGGTCTCAATCACTTGACCTACGTCCAGTCCTCAGAACATCTATGAGTATTTCACTATATTCCAAGATTGATATAGTAATTGAAACTCTCAATCACTCCCCCTTACTTCCCGTAAGGTTACAGCCCCACTCAAGATTCCACACCCTTGAGTATCACACAAACGTGATTAATGAGTAGTAAATAAACTCTCTTACAGAGTGAATAAATGATAATCACTGATGCTCGGAGTTATGAAAGAACAGAGTATTGAATGCAACAATAAAAATCAACAGAGGGTAGCTCGCGTATTTAATCTGTTCATTTAATGCTTCTTCGCGCCTTTTATAGTTGAAGTCATTTAGTAACCGTTAGACGGAAGAGCTTCTAGCCGTTGTAAGTCCGGTTGCGTGTTTTTCCAGTTGCAACGGTTTCCGCCATTAATGCTTCTGACAAGGTAGGTTACAGACTACTTGGACAACCGTTGGAGTGTTGTTGGGATTTTCTTCGTAATCTATAAAAATACATTAATTCAATAAGTTTATTCTTTGTAGAATAAGATCAAGAGTAGATCCGAACAACTGATAATCGAATATTCATAGCTTATGGTTAGAATCAATCAGATGTACTGGGTAGTAACTGAACGTGCTTGATCGAAGTGATGTTCGATTATTACTTGATCGATCAGGTTATTGATTATTTTGAGTGAAGACTTTTGAAGTAGAGAACTAAGATTATCGATCAAGTTATGGATCAACAGCTTATCGATCAGGTGATCGATAAAGGGAAATAGTGATATCATACTATGATGCATAGACAATGAAGATCAAGGTTGCTTTTGATTTTGACACTCTTTAAATAGTGAAACAAGACACTTATGAAGGCTGAGAAAAGCTCGAATGAAATATATGATAAATTTTGAGAAACATCGAGACTTAAGGTTTAAATTGAAATCACCTCATGATCGAACAAGTGATCAAACACTTGTTGATCGATTAGGTTATCGATAAATAGAGTGTTAAAGAAATGACTTTTGAAACACTAATTATCAAACACTTTATCGATAAACAGATGATGGATAACCTTATCGATAAACAGTAGGCAAAAGTATATTTTGTGAAAGCACAAACTATGTAAGTTGATCGAATAGATGATCGATAAAGGGTTGATCGATAATGTTATTGATAAAGAGGTCTTTCTTGTAAAACAAAAGAACTGATTTATCGATCAAGTTATGTGAAAACAACGTAAACATTAAGGGTGGTTATCAATAAGATTATCGATAATCTAATTATCGATCTGGTGATCAAAGAGCCACAATGTGTCAAAGATATGTTGATTATTGATCATGTGATCGATAATGTTCTTATCGATCAGGTGATCGATAAGCCACTGAAATAAATTCCTGCACGAAAAGTTATGAGGCAATGTTCAATCATATTATCAATAAATGGCTAATCGATAATGTGATCGATAAATGGCGATAAAAGCAAAACATAGAATGAGTAAAGTGCATTACCATTTATCTATCTTCTCATCGATAATCGGTTTATCGATCATGTGATCGATAAACACCTATTAAATTTGTATTCCGATTATCGATCAAGTGATGATAATTTATCACAAATTTTCATATGCAACTAAGAATGATTGATCAACACATTATCTAACACGTTATCGATCAAAGTTTCTACTGAGTTTACTTAATTAAATAGAGTTATTATCTATCAGCTTATTGATAAAACCTTGATTGATTAGATGATCGATGAACATGCTGAATCACAAATTACTCACTTTGTTATCATCAAAACCTTAATCCTAACATTCTTCCCCTTTTTGATGATGACAAAACATAGGTAAGAAATATTAATCAAATAACATCAGAAATAGTAAAATTAAGTAGTAGACAGATCGAAGTAAAATCAACTGTCAAAATACATCAGTAAAACTCAGTACACTCAGAACATGTAGCTAAACATCAATAAAAACACATCAAAGTAAAAGTAAAAAGAGACTCTAAGCAGCAGAATCCTTCTCCCCCTTTTTGTCAGCATCAGGTGGGGAAGAGAAAGAAGTAGAAACAGGTGGAATGGACAGGGGAATAGGAAGAGGGCGAAGGTGAGAAAGTGGAGAGAGTGATGGGATATGAAGAGAGGGAACTGGCTGGGGAACAGTGATCAGGGCCAAGGTAGGAGAGGGAGTGGGAGAGGTAGATGGTACAAATGGTGAAGTAGAAACAGGAGAAGTGGGTATAGTGGAGGTAGAAGGTCCAGGCTCATAATAAGGAGGAGATGGGGAATGATGGAGTAAGTCCTCAAAGCTTAAGGTAGTGCTGGGGGTAGAGAAGTTGTTGTAGAGAGAAGCTACCATCCCTTTGAGCTCTCGAATTTCTCTATCAACATAATCAAATCTCTGAGAAACCTCCTTTTCCAAAACCATCATTGCTTGTCTGTGAAGATCTAGGATTTTGGAAATGCCCTCAAACTTTCTATCTGAGACTTCCCCATATTCTCGAGCAGTGGCATAAACTCTCTTCTCAAACTCTTGAAGCTCGGCCTGAAACATCTCCCTGAGAGATCTCTCCATGGATGAGGGTATAGGGGCATGAGAAGGAGCTGCAGTGGATTCGGCTTCATCCTGAGTCCTAGAGGTGCTGACAGCTGGTTGCTTCCCCTTGTCCTTCTGAGGTACCTTTTGAGATGGTCTGAAAGGTAGAGGAATCCTCATCTTGTGCAGCTGTGTAATCCCAAAGGCAGGAACCTTGGTCTTGGACTCTCCAAGCTCAAAAGGGGCAATGTTATTTGCCTGTAGGATGTATGTGGCCAACTGAGGATAGGGGATCGGTGTAGACTTGGATTTGTTGAGAACAAAATCCTTCATCTCATTATAGATCAAAGCCCCTATATTAATCTTTTCTCCACTGATTATCCGGGCCAATAACAAGTAATCATCTTGAGTTAAGTGTGAGAAGCTTCCGGATTTATTGATCATACTTCTTGAATAGATATAGTGGATTATTCTATAATAATCACACATCTGTTTAGGTGGGAAATTTAGCTCACCGGGGTACTCATCACTTTGCATCAAAATTTTATAAGCCTTAATTTCATTCATATCTCCCCCTCTCACCGAATCTTGAG